ATTTCATCTATTGGTGTGCTTGTGGAGGGTGGGGCCAAAATGCCTATTTTGCTGGGAAAACCTTGGAAACGAAAAAGATACTAGGCCCTTAAGTAGTTGGTAATCTTCTAGAAAAGAAGTCTCATGTCACGATGTTGTGCTTCAATGCATAGGTTTGAACAAAGAACTAAATTTCGTTTTGTTTTCATTTCCATAGAAACCGAAACGAATCATTGATTGAATATCCGAATTCCTATATTTCAAGATATTTCAAAGTGTTTTGGTAGGTTTTGAGGTGTTTCGGCATGTTTCGACTTATGTTTCGATATATTTCAACCAATGATCAAAATTTCGTTTCGGTGCATTATTTCGATCACCTAAAAAACGGAAACGTTTCAACCCGTTTCGAAAACATAATGAAAAAAAATAAAAAAATTAAGAATTATTTTTTTAAAACATTGGTCGAAATATACCAAAATATCTTGAAATACCTTGAAATATTCCAAAATAATTGTGCAAATACATTAAAATATAACAAAACATTCCGAAATATTATGAATCACCTCAAAGTATTAAAATTTTAATTTCATTACTGATTCGTTTCAATCTCTTCAGAAACAAAAGCGTATAAGATGTTTAGACCGTTTCAAAGCGATATTTTAATCATTGATTTCACCCAATGATTTGAAAATAAAATTTTAAATTTTTCTTTATTTCCATCTTATTTTCAAAATATTTCCGAAACATTATCGAAACGTACCATTTTCAAGATCACCGAAACAAAATTTTGATCCATGTCTATACCAAAAACTAATTGTGTTGCAATAATATTCTCTCCTTTCTCTTCTCTCCCCTCTCTGATTATAGTTAACTAAGTGAGGACGGTTAAACGGGATATCGTTGCTACAATCCTATTGCCCAAAAATTTTATGTCTCTCGCCATGCCGCCTTTATGGAACATTTTCTTTTTTTCTCTATTCCATCACCTTCTATATTTCTGCATAAGTTAGATTTCATTTTCATTTCATTGCTTGTCAATGTTTCCTCCAGATACATATGTTGGTGATGTACCCATGTCAAATTTGTCATCTTCCTCTTCTCCTTCTGATTTATCTGTTACTTGTCCCTCTATTGTGTATACCTCCCTTTTGTTAAAGGTCGTTCTAACTTTTCCTGGGAGTCTAGCATGGGTTACTTCAGCGTCGTAGTGCTTGATACTTGAACATTGGTTCGAGGTATTTTCTCTATCCCTTCTTACCCTGATTTTATAACTATTCAATCATCCCTTACTTTCGTAAGAGGTGTCACTGCTTTCACCCAGAGGGATAGAATAAACTCTTTGTGACGCTAACTATAAATTTAATAAGAGAAGAAAGATCGTAGTCTAGTTCAAATGAAAGGTAGGGCACAAATCAGAGTCATTATGTTGGAGTTGGGCCATATAGCTTCGTATTTGTTATGGCTTGGCCCTTTTTGGCCAATATTAGGGTACAGACCCCCTTCTTCTACATTTTTCAAGAACGAGAATTGATATATAACCTATTCAAAGTTGACAGGACTCATGTTGTCTATTATATGAATGTGATGTCTCCTCCTTCTCCTTATATCACTTAATCAGGTTCTGAAATTGTAGATTATGCTCCTCACTATCCTTAGCGCTCTCGAAAGTGTCCAAATAGATTGGGTTTATCCAACTCTTGCTATTTTTTTAATTTTTGTTCTTCTCACTTCTATTCACTCTCTATCTGAACGCCCCTCCTATAAAGAAGCTATACTTGATCTCCTTTGGCAATAGTTATGGATGAGGAGCTATCTGCCTTGTATAAGACAAAAGTTTGAGAGTTAGTCTCTTACCTTCTAGCAAACTCACCATTGGTTTTAAGTAGGCTTATAAAATCAAAACCAAATATAATGATTCTATGAAAAGGTACAAGATTCGGTTAGTAGCCAAGGGGTTTGTTCAGGAGTGTGGCACAGACTATGATGATATTTTTGGCCCAATTGCTAAGACACCCACTGTCTTACTTTGGTTGCAGTAGTTGTCATTAGTCAATGTAGCTTTTTTCAGATTGATGTAAATAGTATTTTCCTTCATAGAGATTTGTTTGAAGAAGCTTTTATGACTACTCATTCAAGAGTCTCTCATAGTCTTGGACTTTATATGATTTTAAACAAGCTTCCTGGGCATAGTTTTCGAAGTTTTCTTCGATCATTTGTGACATGAATTTCCGTGTCAATGACCATGATTCTTCTTTATTTCTGTGGTTCATTTTTTCAGGTTTTATTGTTCTCTTACTTTGTGTTGATAATATGATTATTATCGGCAATGACATTAATGGCTTAAAATTATTGAAAAATCAGTCGCGTTATTATTTGAAGATGAAAGATTTGGATCAGCGTTAGTATTTCTTAAGGATTGAGGTTGGGTCCTCTTCCAAAGGTTATCTACTCTCTCAGTCCATTAGAGCTCNGATGGCTTAAAATTATTGAAAAATCAGTCGCGTTATTATTTGAAGATGAAAGATTTGGATCAGCGTTAGTATTTCTTAGGGATTGAGGTTGGGTCCTCTTCCAAAGGTTATCTACTCTCTCAGTCCATTAGAGCTCAATGTACATTATTCTTCCTTTGATGGCACTCTCGTGCATAATCTTATCCTCTACCGCACTATTGTTAGGGCCTGGTATATTTTATAGTGACTCGCCCAAATATTTCTTATACAGTTCATGTTGTTAGCCAGTTTGTTGCAACCCTTACTACTGTCCACTAAGCCACTGTTCTCTCCATTTTTTGATATCTTCGAGGCACTCTACATTAGAGTCTGTTATTTTCTTCCTTCTCGTCTATAGAACTCAGAGCTTACTCAGATGACGAATGAGTTGGTGACTCTTTGGATCATAAATTCACTACTAATTTTTGTCTTTTTCTTAATGAAACTCTTATATCTTGGAAAAAATAAATTGTTGCTACTCACTCCTCAGTTGAAGCTGAGCACTGTGATATGCCCTCTACCACAACCGAGATAGTCTGTTTAAAATGGTTGTTTGCTAATACTGGCATCTCTTTATTTGCTCCAACCCCTATGTGTTGTGAGCAATCTAAGCTCACAACTCGATCTTCCATGACTATACAAAACATATTGAGATTGTTGCCACTTTATGCACCATCAATTTCAATTGGACACCCACCATCTCTTTCCCCTTTCTTGCTTCTACTAGGCAATTAACGGATTTCTTCATGAAATCTCACACCATAACACATTTTCATTTTCTTCTTAACAAACTTTTGATGTTCTCTGCTACCACATCATAAGTTTGAAGGTGGAGGGGAGTGTTAAAGTATTGTAGCCTACTAATATTAGAGGTAGTTTAGTAATTTACTCTATGTTATATTGCCCTACTATATAAGAGCATTTATTGTGTATCTTAGGTTAATAAGTTGTTACACAAACTAATTGGGTTGCAATAATATTCTCTCTTCTCTCTTCGCTCCTTTGTTTTTGATTAAAGTTAATAATAGGTACCAAAGACTTGTAAGCAACTTGATTTATCTCTCACATATCAAGGGGCATTTCTTTCTTTGTGTATACCCTTTCGTAATTCAGAAGTATTAAAGCAAAAGAATCCAGTCAAGTTGTTTGATCTTTTTAAATAGAGATTGGCTGGTGAATCAACTTATGCATTCCCCACAGCCATCCCATTCAGATATAATTTCTAGAACTCTTCGATACATCAAATCAGCACCTAAGAGAGGTCTTTTATCTNAGATTGGCTGGTGAATCAACTTATGCATTCCCCACAGCCATCCCATTCAGAAATAATTTCTAGAACTCTTCGATACATCAAATCAGCACCTAAGAGAGGTCTTTTATCTTCTAACACAATCATATTCAGGACGGAATTATTTACAAATGCCGATTGGGCATAGTCAGTTACAGATTGATGATTCAATGTAACAATTGTACTTGTGTTGGAGGCAGCTTGGTGGCTTAGCATACTAAGAAATAGTCACTATTTATGTGATTTGAGTATGTAGACTGAGTTTGGAGCTATGGCACGTGTGGTGTGTAAGCTTTTGTGGTTGCAAGATGATAGGATTTGGCTTTCATTCATGACAACAAAATTGCTACCAATATTATACAAAACCCAGCTCAACATGATGAAACCAAGCATATTGAAGTAAACACATTTCATTACAGAGAAGCTAACCTCTAGTCTTATTTGCAGTTCCTTTGGCGAAGGATGGAGGACAATTGGAAGATGTCTTGATTAAAGGAGTGTCAAGTAAGGTATTCTATAGTATCATAGCCAAGTTGGGCATATGTAATATATATGCATCAACTAGTGCGGAGTTGGAATGTCGAAAAATTAGAATGATGGGTGTTCTTGTAAATTCTTGACATATTTGAAAATATGAATAGACAGGAGTGCAGGAGTAAGAATTGATTCATTTATTTCATTGACCTTCTGTCGTGCACTCTTTTTCTCTTATTTACTTCTTCACAATCCTTAGAAACTAGAATCATCATATTTCAACTTAACCTGCATTGGTGTTTTAATCAGCAAGTAAGATGAGAAGTGGGTGAACACAAGTTCTTTCTCATTTCATTCTCTTCGTTTTTCATACATACAACTTGATTTCGGCTTATGACTTGCAAAATTTTATACGACAGAAGTTGCAAAAGTAGAACGGCCTATTTAGAAAAAAAAAATTCCAGTTGTGTCCCCAGAAGCAAATATTTTAGAGGTCCACCACTGACATTTTGCTTTTTCAGATCCCCACTTGAGCTCTGTATCCCTCAGTTCTTCTGAACAAAGTAGACCGAATGGTGCAGCTAAAGTTGACTGGACACAACCGTATGAAAAGAACAAAAAAAAAAGTAATATATGAACATAAATAGCTCTGAAACAAAAATACATGATTTTTGAGGGAGTTAGTGCATCTTGTATATGAGCATGCTTGAAAAAGCATACATGGCATCAGGATCACAATATCCATAAGATAATTTCAGACACATGAAAATTCAGTTTTGCTGCTGCTTGTATTCAAACATCTGTGCATGCAAACTAGTATCAGCAAGTGGCAAACAGAATAGGGTCCGAGTGTAAACCTCAGCAAAGTGGAGATGGTAGTCTCCAAGCTGCTTATCAGCCCATTTTTGGATGGGTAGTAAGAAGGACTGTAAGAAAGTAAACTCTTGAAACCCCTGTTCACTTTCAACCCTGCAACGTAAGCTTTTCAACTGCAACCTTTCCTGTGGACCACGTTGCTCCTTCAATGGTATTTTCTTTAACTGTTCAATGGCAAACCGCAGGATTCTTTGCTCGCTAGTGATGACAAACTGTAATTACATAACCACATCATATTGAATGAGGGCAACTAGACAATAAAAGTTCATCTAGAATCGAACATCATGTCAACAATAAAACAAGAACGAACACAAAGCATATGGTAATGAACAACCAAACTGTAAAAATGAAACAATAAGCGAGTGAAAATTAAATCATATCAGAAATCATATTTACCATGACAAACATTAATAGTTCATCCAAAAACCACTTGTATATCATCCCTGTAATTGTTTCACACATGCAAGCACAAACACTTACAATACGAAGAGAAAAGTATTTGCTGAACATCTTAAATGTGCACAAACATTCAGTCATGTTTAGTCATTGATTCATTTTGTCAGATAGGATAATTTAATTTATTATGGCATCAGAGCAAAAGGCCATGTGTTTGATTCTCACCACCATGCTGATGATCATAATACTTCCACATTCTTGTCCCAAAAACTGGTCTGCACATGAGGGGTGTATTAATGTTAAGTTTTTACATGAGCAGATGGTTTATCAAGATATATAACCCCAACTTCAAACTGTACATATTCTGGCAAGCACATGAAAGTATTACAATCATCAGGGTAACGATGAGATTAAAACCTCCTACTTTGATATCATGCTTAATCAACGACCCATCTAAAAGCTTAAACTGATAGATATAATGATTTAACATGATACTATAGCATGAGGTCTTGCATTCGAATCTCGTTGGCACCCTGATGATTATAAAACTTCACATGCTTCACCCAAAATCTGGCTCGCGCATGAGGTGGTCTGTTTTAGATATAAATACTTACATTAACCCTCTTTCAATGCATAAGCTCCTGTTCTGGTATCATGTAAAACCATTATCCCTCTAAAATTTCAAGCTATTAGAGATGGATATGACAAATATTCTATAATGCAACAAGCCTCTCAAGTGCGGGCCAAATTTTGGGCCACACACATGGAAACCTTACAATCATCGGGGTTGCGATGAAACTTTCACGTAGAATTTTTTGCTTTGATATCATGCTAAACCATCATCTCATCTAAACATTTAAGTTGCCAGAGACAGTGTAACAAGTATTATATACTTTCACATGCCCCTCATGGCAGCCAGTTACTCTCAACTAATTTTGGCATAAGAACATACAGCATACAACTTCCAAGGTTCCCTTATACCGTCTGTTATAATGGAAAACATTAACCCCAAGAGTTATACTGGTCATACAGGTGATTCAGCATCAAAAAGAAGCAAGTACAAGGTACAAATATATTGAACAACATGCACTTGTAGAGAATGTCTAACGCATTCTCTACAAGTTTGCCATATTGGGTTGCTGAGAAGGTCTTTCTAATGTGACAATGTTTTTATTTGCTAAGTCACTTCTCCTGTATACTGTCTATGTACTTGGTTTGAGGACCCTCAGCAGCTTCAGAGATATTCTTGTGTATCAAAAATCAAGAAATAAAAAACCCAGTACCTTCCACGATAAACAAAAATGACATAAGAAAATTTCCAAATATTTAGTTAATTGAACAGAAAAGGGCCAATGCTTCTGTACGTATTTAAAAAACCAGATGATAAGTCCGAGTGAAATGTAGTATAATAAGAGCATGGCATCCAGTAAAATTACACATTTTTCAAGGACAACATAACATAAAATGCATCCGGAAATCATAAATAGCTAGTGTGATACAGATAAGCAAAATCCCCAAGATGAATCATGCATTTGTTATATATATATATACACACGCATACAAACACAGACAGACTCTCACACAAACAAGAGAGAGAGAGGGAGAGATTTGCACTCTTTATTGTTTTCATGGTCATATCTGGACAATTAAGTTTTGGAAGCATAGACAAGGATGGTCAATGCAATTCATCTCATATTCTTAATCACCAATCCATGAAATGCTCAAAACTGTGAGGCACTTCTCATGAAGCTAGATAATAATAACTTAAAAGACTGTAACATTGCATTTAAAAAGAAATTTGTTCATGATACCTGTCGGAATAGCACCCATGCATAGCAGGTGTAATGAATTGTCTCTGTAATTCCCAAAATACGCCAGGTTGACTTCAAAAGTTCCAGAATTTCTTCCACTTCCTGAGCATAAGCATCACCTATAGTTAGTTTAATTTGGCAGATTGTCATATACATTTCCCAAAATGAATTTTTCATTATTAAGAGGCATTATTTTCCAAACTGTGTATAAGAGGTTATCTTATACTGATTCAGATCACTAAAACAGGTAAAGAAAAAAATCATATCATTTTCTTCTTGGATATCTGTAAAGATACCCCTGAGAACAACATGACGACTCCCTGACATTTCCGTAAAACGGGCTTGTATCACACATGGAATGATTAGGGTCACCCAAGATTGATTTATCTCATTAACGGGACTCTTCACTCATTGCTAATTGGTTTTCAGTTGAAAGCTCTAACATGTAATTGATACTAAGCTTTGGATAGTCTGTGGATCAAGTATCTTACCCATTTGAATTTCTCAGTATGCATGTTTCTATGTTCATTTATTAGCTCACATGCGAGCCAGATTCCATGAGAGGGAGGCTGTAAAGAGAGAGTTTGTACCATAAATCAAATGAATAGGGCCACCCATGGCTAATTTATAGGTTATGGGATCTCTCCAACTTTTGTCAACCAGTTTAGTTGGATATATTGGCAAGGTGATTCCTTACATTCGAAAAATTGTATCAGCAAGTAGTCGAACTATAAAGAAAGGGAGGCCAAGGTTACGAAAAGTAAGGTCAGCCAATCACAAACTACACAAAAGTTGCCCCTTTTTCATGGAGATTTACCCATCATAGAGACGCACAGAGGAACAAAATGAACTTCATATATCCCTTTTCTGCTCAATCCAGATGGCAAATGGTTGTCAGTAATATTGATGCCTGACATACCAATATTGTCCCCACTGGAACAAAATTAATCATGTATTCAAAATTATTCGCAACTGGAACAAAGAAAACGTTATATCTAAAGACAACCACCACCTTCATATTCTTCCTCTCTCACACACAGATCTTGTTACACAACAGCACACACCCACAAAACACATATCCACACACGAAGTATCAGCATAGGTTCAAAACACATACCCAAACTCACACAAATTTCAAAGTTTGATTAATCTTCTCTCTCTCTCTCTCTCTCTATAACTCTATATCACAAACACAATTTGGCACACCAAACACACACAGAACTCAATCAATCACCAATTTAATCCATCCAATTCATTCCACGATCACCAACGGCAACCTCCCCCATTAAATCTCCACCACACATGGCAAACCTACATTATCGGTGACCAATTCACCAATTCAGATGACCCAATGAATAAATGGATGAACCTCAAAAACCCTAGAGTCCCACCAGGAACTTCCCCAATAAAACACTTAGCCTTCTGCAATACCACCACCAGACACATATCTTAAACACCTCACATGACGTGGCTCCCCTTCCAGCCCAAATCTCCAACCACCATGAATTGCGAATGACACAGCATTAACCAGAGTTAGAACAGTGTAATGTGAGCATGTGTACTGACTCCCATTCTTCTTGGGGTGGCTAGTGGAGAACGGTGGTTGTAGTGGTTGGTCAAATCAGATTAAATGAATGGGTCGTGGGTTAAAATAATTTGTAGTTGAACTTCTATATTGATTAAAAAGTAGTACTAAATAAGTCATTTTGTCCAACCCGTTAATGCCAGCCAATTAACATCCCCAATATAGGCCCCAGTCCCCACGTCATTATAGAAATGCCAAGGCATCGCCCTGTTGTTTAGCAATATCTCAGTTGATGTCATCAAAATTTACCGCTTTCATTAAGCTCCAGCTGCATTGGTTTAGTAATCAATGTAGATGAAAATTTCCAATGAATTAAATGTAATCGTGTAATGTATACAAAGCTTGACCCAACCTCTGTTAGCTTTCCTTCATCTAGAACGTCAAAGACACTGAGAAGCATTTTCTCATAAAGCCTGACATTTAGATGGTAGCCATCTGCCCAATGGCATACTTCACCAGTTAAGTCACCTCGAGCTGGTCTCTCTGCCAGTGGAATAGCAATCTCTCTGAGTGATCTTAAGCATTCTGTCCGTTGAAGTTCACCCGTAGAAGATGGAAGAGACTGAGACACAACAAATAAATTATTTCAGAGCAGACCAATCTTAAAAAGAAAATAGACAGGTACATCAACAAGAAGCAGCCTATTTTTTTTCCTTTCTAATCATGGGGGAGTTCTCCTAACATGAGATAGATGAATGCTAAGGGTACAGCAAAGGTTAACCTAAATGAAAATTGAACATCGCCCAATTATAGCAATCAAAGACAAATGTCCATATAGAATGAATCTCAGATAAAATGCCGGTACAATGCCCCCACCTGCACACGGGGAAAGGAAAAGGAAAAAGAAGAGATAAAAGCAAAAACATTTACTACTGGATGTATAGCAAGAACCCTCACATTATTTGAAAAAGGCATATCATTTTCTGCTCTTAAGCAAGAAGATAAGTGATGTGGAAGTTGCACCAGTTGGAGGAAACAAGAAAATCATCACACTAATTTTAAGGCGAAAGTCTATAGGACAGTAAAGTTCACTAAACTTTCAATTCCCCCACATTTTCCCGGCCAACTCTTTCCTGGGCCAAAAAAAAAAACTAATAATAGGCATAAAATGAAAGTACAACTGAAGAGAAGAAAGAGAAAGAAGAAAAGAACCTATTATTCTTATGTACATTTGCGACATTACAAAGCAATTCAATTTTTCCCTTATACTTAGCTGTCCTTGCTGAGTCACATAAGCCATTGGGAAATCACCTTGAGAAGGTCAAAGAGCTAGGTATAAATAAAAGCAGATTACAGAGAAATCACACTCACACAAGAAGATATGAGTTTCATACACAGTTTTAACAAGGAAAGGTCAAGTAAAAAGGATCCTATTAGAAATTTAGAACAAGCGCAGAAAAAGGTAAATGGCTGTAATGAAGCCATTTGAAGATGATTTGACAATAAAGTACACACCTCAGACTCTTCAATCTTTGCCAAAAGAATTCTCAGTTCACTAGCTCTGCGCCCTGATTCTCCAAATCCCACAGCAGGGTGATTTACAAGCCCCTCCTCCAACATGTTTAACTGAACTAACAAAATAATGAAAACATTCAATATGGACATTTGAGCGAGAATATCAATCAATTTCATTAAAGAAAAAGTATAATATCTCACCACCACTACTTAACAAATATTCTTTTCCCCCACCTGCCCCTCTAGCTCCCATTGCCCATTCCCAAAGACCAAGAAAAAGTAAAATAGAGAATACAAAACAAGAAATTGAAAAAATGGGAGAGGGAAAGAAGAAAGAAACAAAAATAGGTGGAGAGAGAGAGCTCACTTGTCTTTTTTGCCATCTTATATAAGCTTTCATGTCAGAGAACTCTGTGCGTGAAATGCAACATAACAACTCCAGAGGAATTAAAAGAGTATCCATTCTTTTTCCCACTTTTCCCACCAGGGCATTAAGCAGCCCCAGTCTTGTTCTGATATCCGTTGCCTCAGAAATCTATGTAAACTCATGAGAATGGTGAAGGAATCAACATTGCAAGAATTCCAAGTAAAAAGAATTAAAGCAAGTAAATGAAAATCGAACATCTAGGACTGATACAAAAGCATCATATAAGAAAAATTGAACCATCCCCTGGAACTTTAATTAGTACATGTAATGTGCTAAATGAAATTTTATTGAAAATCAGAGGTAAGAATGTGTATTGGTACCAATTAATGGTCAAGAAATACCTTAAAGTGAATACTTATCTTCACCAAGAAACCATGAGAGAACAGTACCCAAAAACAAAAAGAATAAGAAAGATAACCATAAGACAGGTTGAGAGAAAAAGCCCCTCCCTCAGGAGGACCTCCAGCCCCCTTCAAAATGGATTTTTCCTTTCTATCTTTTAGCCTTCTTTTAGGTTTCATTTAGGTTGGAACAAGCAAGTGTCAATTAGTAAGCTTCCATATCTGAAAATAATAAAAATTAATGTTCAGTACGTTTTAGATTCTACACAATCGTAATAATGATAATTCAGTGCATCCACTGGCCAGTTCCATTGAAGTATTGGGAAGTAAGGTTCAGATATGCTGTCTGATATTTTTTCCAATAAACAGTGAAACAAGGAATAGACTAGAATGAAAACGCTGTTTTGGGTCATGGTTCACTTTATAAGTATCACCTGAATTTCTTTCATTATTATATGAGATCAAATATAATTATACATCTGTTTACACCTAGTTAATTAATAATGTACCTGCTAATGGTTTTAAATAATAAAAACCAGACATATCATACTTGAATGGGGGAAAAAATTCAAATCACAACAAATCAAAATATAATCTTAAAGATTATCAAGAAAACAATTAGGGTTATAACTTAGGATTATCTGGTCTGTGGGTCAATATGAGGTTGGAGCTAAAACTTGGGTCAGCAAATTTGGCCGACCTGGGTTGCAAACCCAACACCGCTTTTGGTCGTATGACCCCAGTTCCTAAGGCACTTAGGGAATCTAAGATCCCTTCAAATTCGAATTTTTGAATAGGATTTAAAGACAACTTGATGGCCAGGATAATATATGATGTCAGAAAAGTAATGATCATTAAACTTTGAAGTTGAGTTTTTTTTCTAAAGATTGACCCATCTCCTCAATTTTTCAATGATTTCAAGAAGGCCAACTATAGGAAATCACCCAAGTTTCTAAATAATACTATATTACACCCAAAAAACTAATGCAAAATTCAGTGGAATCAACTAACCCCACTTAAATCCATGTACCGTCCATTGGTGGGAAGAGATGACAAATAACGAATTCAAAGTGGTTTAGTTTTACAAGATCTTCCCCCCTCCTTATCGTTAGAAATCTTCCTCTTTTTAGTATTTCTTTTCTCTATGTTCTCTAAATTTGGCGGAAGGTATGCATCAAAGGCAATGACATCGAGAGCAATGATCCTAGAATAACTATGAAATCAAAGAATAATTTCCAAGATGGCTACAAGGGAAAGGAGTGCACAATAAGATGATTTGGTCAAATGCAGTAATGATATATATTTCACAAAAGAAGTGATTCAAACCAATGTCTTCTTCATTTTTTCTTTTTGGTGGCTAGATTTCATTCAAGTTGAAAGTGCTCAAAGAAAGAGATCAAAAGAAACATTGGGTAACTCTACATGGAAAAATTGGATAGATGTTCCTCTTATTCAGGCAAAAGCCATAGATAGAGCTAAATGGCAAGGTTGGATCAATATAGCCAATCACTAGTAATGAGGCTTGAGGTTTTGTTAAGTACAAAGTAGTTGTTTTAGGAGACTCTTAAGCATGCAATAATTAGTCATCAAATCATGAAGAGCCAGGCTTATTTCCTTAAGAGAGTATTTCTTTTCAGCACCATTTGGAAACAAATTGTCAAGAAGAAAAAAATGAAGGATCTTAAATGAAGCCGAGGTTGTAAAATGAAGTGTAGATAATCAAAGAGTATAGTTTAACTTTGTAGAATTGTTTTATACCTTCTCCAATAACTTAAAACATTTAGAGCACGCTATCAGACCCTGATATACTGCATTCAAAATTTGACTCGCATATGAGAGGGTTTGTTGAAGGACACAAATATTTATGTTACACCTTCTCTGACAGCTCAACTTTTGCATGAGTCAATAACTTTACACCCCTGTTGTTATTTAGTGTACATATCTTTTTGTTTGTGCTTATATCCTGTGTGTGTGCAGTTGGGCCCCCTACTTTTGACAAATATTTATTTACGAATCAAAGACTAACTAAGATTGGATTTGGCTATGATATTCAGCCACGTAAATCATTTGTGGGTCAACCTGATTGAAGACAAGTATTTTGAATATAGACAGAGGTGCAGACTAACTAGATTTTCCAGATAAAAGGGTTATGAATCCAGGATTGTTAATTTTTCACAATCCACCAATCGTAAGATGCTTAACACCTAAAGCTAATAGCCTAATATAGCAGCCCTCTTTTTTAAGTATGTACATGGAAGAGACTAAATGAAGCATGATGATCAAAAAGTCCCTATTTCTGCTTCAATTCACTGAATTCTCAGTTTTTAACATTTTAAGCATCATGTTCTTGAGGTATCACAGCATCATAGTCCTAAGGAGCCATACTGGCAATATCTGGTGTACCAACTTGAAAAATACTGTCAAAAAATAAAAGCATAATATTAAGTATCTGAAATAAAGTAAGGCCTCTCCAAAAATGCTTTATACCTCCATCTGGACACGCATTGTCTCCAACAGGCCAACCAAACCAGGTGTGTGTTGAGACTGAGTCACAGCATGTTCGCTCTTACCCCGTCCAAGCTTCCGCATCAGTTTGGACTTTCTTTCTTTCTTTTTCTCCTTTGACGGTACAATGAGGCCCCTGTTTGTACAATGATTACAAAATATATTAGAGAGTTGGTGGCTAAGAATTAAGGGGAGCGAGAGGAAAAAATACAGAACAAAGGAAATATGAAAAGGACTAAAACAAAAACATTTAACCATTGTCAAATTAAATGAATGTATATTCGCAAGCCAAGACAAGAGGAAGCATACCCTGAAGCCCCTGCAGCAGCCAACAGAATTTCATATGCAGTTTCACGAAGATCATCATCTGTAATACCTGGATTTAAAAAAAGGATGTTTAAACATTTAACTGAAAAGCTTACAACCATCCTGTTAGAGTATCCAACTAGAAATCAACTGGAAATGAGTGGAGAGCCGCCTTGAGCATATAAACTAACCTTGAGTGGGCCTCTGACCCAAAAAAAAACCTTTAGTGGCCCTAATCATTCAATGTAGGATACAAGCTCTCCCTAGTCGCTCAATGTGGGATACAAGCTCTCCCTGTATACTCCCTCACGTGGGACTAGGCTCGCAAGTGAGGATAACAAACAAACATCCATAGTGGGAAATTCAAATAGGTAAGAAATTTGGTTCACTGACCACCAAATAGGTAAGAAATTTGGTTCACTGACCACCAAAGACCCAACTCTAATACTATGGTAGAGCATCCAACTCAAAATCAATTGGCAATGAGTGGAGAGGCCCCTTAAATATATAAAGTATAAACTAGCCTTGGGTGAACCTAATCATTAGACGTGGCTCTTTACATAACCCATTCATATTATTTTGATATCATGCCAAGGAAATCACAAAATAAGCTTGGGAATTCGGCCCTCAATTGTACATAAATATAGGATAGTTGATCATAAGCTGTCGAACATTAATGTAATATAAAATGGGTGTATAATATTTAAGGTTTGGCAAACATAAACAACATAATATGAGCATTTAAAAACAGTTGCCACCATCACTTCCCCATCCAAGTGTAAAACACTAATTCTCCAAACCCAATTGAAAATCTTTGATATTTTTGTTTCTTGGTAACAGAAAATGCAATCCATNGATTACAAAATATATTCCAGAGAGTTGGTGGCTAAGAATTAAGGGGAGCGAGAGGAAAAAATACAGAACAAAGGAAATATGAAAAGGACTAAAACAAAAACNTACAAAATATATTAGAGAGTTGGTGGCTAAGAATTAAGGGGAGCGAGAGGAAAAAATACAGAACAAAGGAAATATGAAAAGGACTAAAACAAAAACATTTAACCATTGTCAAATTAAATGAATGTATATTCGCAAGCCAAGACAAGAGGAAGCATACCCTGAAGCCCCTGCAGCAGCCAACAGAATTTCATATGCAGTTTCACGAAGATCATCATCTGTAATACCTGGATTTAAAAAAAGGATGTTTAAACATTTAACTGAAAAGCTTACAACCATCCTGTTAGAGTATCCAACTAGAAATCAACTGGAAATGAGTGGAGAGCCGCCTTGAGCATATAAACTAACCTTGAGTGGGCCTCTGACCCAAAAAAAAACCTTTAGTGGCCCTAATCATTCAATGTAGGATACAAGCTCTCCCTAGTCGCTCAATGTGGGATACAAGCTCTCCCTGTATACTCCCTCACGTGGGACTAGGCTCGCAAGTGAGGATAACAAACAAACATCCATAGTGGGAAATTCAAATAGGTAAGAAATTTGGTTCACTGACCACCAAATAGGTAAGAAATTTGGTTCACTGACCACCAAAGACCCAACTCTAATACTATGGTAGAGCATCCAACTCAAAATCAATTGGCAATGAGTGGAGAGGCCCCTTAAATATATAAAGTATAAACTAGCCTTGGGTGAACCTAATCATTAGACGTGGCTCTTTACATAACCCATTCATATTATTTTGATATCATGCCAAGGAAATCACAAAATAAGCTTGGGAATTCGGCCCTCAATTGTACATAAATATAGGATAGTTGATCATAAGCTGTCGAACATTAATGTAATATAAAATGGGTGTATAATATTTAAGGTTTGGCAAACATAAACAACATAATATGAGCATTTAAAAACAGTTGCCACCATCACTTCCCCATCCAAGTGTAAAACACTAATTCTCCAAACCCAATTGAAAATCTTTGATATTTTTGTTTCTTGGTAACAGAAAATGCAATCCGTTGCCATTAACTTTGTTGGCAACCCAAAATTTCAGTCTCCAAACCCACGGCACCATTAAACAGAACTATGACCCAAAGGCCTTGTTCCAATGAACACTTGGCTTATCTTGTTTATGAGATATTTAAAAAAAAAGAAGAAAAAAAGAAAGCAAAAGCATTCCAAGAAAGATAGAAACTTTTGTCACTAATTTTGCAAAATCTCCATTAAACAGTGTTATGCACTACAAGGCATCAAATAGAAGCTTGTANAAAAAGAAGAAAAAAAGAAAGCAAAAGCATTCCAAGAAAGATAGAAACTTTTGTCACTAATTATGCAAAATCTCCATTAAACAGTGTTATGCACTACAAGGCATCAAATAGAAGCTTGTATCTTCCATTAACTTTCCAAAGCAAACCACATGCTAGAGGAATCAAATCGATGTTTCAAGTCATCCGACACTTTTTACCATAGTCTATCTCCTTCCCATGGATCCTTTTGACTAGTAGGTTTATTATCAAGTATCGGCCCCGATAGCTGAAAGGATAGTTCTAAAAGACAATCATAAGACAAGTCACGCTTTATGGTACAAAACTTGGGCAATTAGGAGACAATACGCTCAAAACTAATTATGTTGGAAATGAAGATGTTTAGATAGGTGTGCAACAAACTAGAAGAGATAGAATTAGGAATGAATATATTTGTGAAAAGGTAGATCTAGCACCAACACAAGATAAATTAACAGAATCGAATTTTGTTGTTCGGACATGTTTCTAGAAGATCTATTGTCCGATCAATGTATAAGAATGATATGATACTGATTGAAGGTAATGTGAGGGGTAAAATAAGACCAAAATTACTTTTGAATGAGAGGGGAAAAAAAGGATACGGTAACCTGTGTCTCAACTGAAAATTTGGCTCTTGATAAAGCACAATGGCAAGAGAAGATTCAAGTAACTGACCCCAGATAATTGGGACAAGACTGCATTGAGATGAGTTATATCTACTCATTTAACCGCAAGAAGTCCTCCAACAAAGATAAAATTTGGAAAAACTTTTCACCATAGATGTGATGTAATAATCCTTGTATAAACTAACCCTGGTTCAAGGCCTTGTCTTTTTTTCTTGCTCCTACCATGTAATACGGATTAGTTTATGCATGTAATTCATTGACTAAACATTTATCATGTCTTTGTATCTAGTTTCTCGAGTAATGTTGCTAAGCAAATTCCAAGAGTTTAAAACTTACAACACTTTTGATTGTGGGCCAAAACATCTCATTTACTATCTAACTAAAGGAACAAAAACAACACTTGATATCTGGAATTCGATCCACATAATTATCCAATCAGTTTGTCACTCACACGCATCTAAGCAAAATTTGAGTCTAAAGTAGATGGCCATTCGTGGATGAAGTTATATCACCTCAATATCTAATTTAATCATCAACAATTTCATATCTATAAAGTAACTGCTTACTTATTTACACTTTCCCTGTATCCCCAGAAAGGCGTGCACCCAATTTAACAAAGACAACAACACTTACAAGAAAATTATCATATGACCACATCCCCACGGTATGGCACCGAACAACAGTAGAGCATGTACGTTTCTAAAAGTACTCTATATTTCTTACCCATTTTTACCTGTTCCAAATGAAGGCAATCCCAACACAAGATCAGTAGCGTCATTCAGAACTCTTCTTGAATACCTGTGACTGTCAACTTCCTCTAAGTCATCATCATCCTCGAAATCATCAATGTCATCTACAGTTAACTCTTGAGCTTGTGCAGAGCTAAGGGATTGTGATTTTGATAGGCTAGACAGTTCTTCGACTTGTGTGGATTCAAGAGATTCTGCTTCCGATAGTCTTGGCAATATGTGTGATGGTGCCATGACAGGGATGATCGGTGGTGCACGTCTTGGTGGTGAACCTGAAGATTCAGGATTTGTAACCAAAAAAAATTCATCGGTGGAACCTGCATTATTCTTTATAACACCAAAAAAGAAGGGAAAAATTATGGATACAAATGCGTACACCGGATGAACTTCAATCACATATGGACAGTGAAAAAGTATAAAAAATATTTCAAAAGAATTCTTTGGCAAATAATAAATAACCACTGAGAACTAAAATCGCAAGAAAAATCAAATATTAAAAAATCTATGACAAATAATGCCCACTATATAAACAAACCAGAGGAGTAATATAAATAAACCTAGTTAAGTAACCCATAAAATTCCATAAGTGGAACCAAGAAATGCAAAAACTTTGCAAACAAGATGTTAGAAGTGCAACAAGACATTAGAAGTGGAGTAACTCATAGCCTACCATATGTGGAAACAAAGTGCTATCATGATAATCTCTAATAGCTTCTGAGAGTTCAAGCATTCCACCTGCATTAATAAAGGAAGTCTAAGTACTCTTTCTACAAAAACTAAAGCAAGCAAAAATTAACTTGGAAGAACATGTATTCAAATCACCACACCTTTCTTCGCGGAATTCAGAACAAAATCAACACTGACTTGATCTAGATCCACATCATCCAATGATACTGCACCGGGAGGCATTACAACTTTCTTAATTAAGCTGCCAGAAAGTATGAAATCAAGAAGTACACGCCTGTCCCGCCTATATCTTTGTAAAAGTTCGACCGCATCTTCCCTAAACATTCACCAAAAAAAGCTTAATAAATGAAGCATTTTTTCAGGTTGTTGAAGAGATTAGTTGCATACGTCTTGCATACTCTTCCATGGAAATCTAAGCTCAGCTGCATCTTCCATTAACTTGCGAAATTTAGTCAAAAAATCAGATATATTATATATTATTTTATTATTCTGGAAATAATCAAATTCTCAGTCACAAAATAAATAATTTTTTGATAGGAACAAAATCAATAAAAAAAACTCTATCACACCATTTGTTGGTGTATTATCTGGGTATTAAGAAACTAAATTAGGTTCCTAAAATGACAAAGCTACACAAATGACCCCTAAACTATGTCATTTGTGTCAATTAAGTATCTGAACTAATTTTTTTCTCAATTCAACCCCTCAACTATGCAATATGGCTCAATGTGCCCTTCCATCTCAATTTTAATGTTAACGAAAATCCTCACATGCACATCACTTGAGTCAATGTTTAGGGTAGTTAAAACCGCACACACACACGTGATGTGCACGTGACGTACCAGTTAAAGTTAATAACTAATTTGGACAGAAGGGTCAAATTGAGTCAAATTGTATACTTAATGGACTAAATTGACACAAACATTAGTTCAAGGGCTCAATTGACATACATGACATAGTTCAGGGGTCATATGTGTAGTTTAATCTTAAAATTATATCCAATCTCAACCCCATTTTCCATTACCTAGTCAAATTTGGATAAAAATTCAAAAGGTATTATCTCGGAACTGTGGAAGTAGTCAATTTCAATAAAATAAAATAAAAACAATGACTATTCTCCGTGTATGGAGAATTTCATCAAATTTGGTTCAGAAATCAGAAACAAAAACTGGGAATGAGATTAGAAGAAATATATAAAGTTGAAAACGGCACATACTCTTCCATTGCAATTCAATGGCTTCAACAGCTCTTCGACCAGCTTTTGTTCCACGCCCTGAAAATATTGAGATGTTACAGTAGACTAGTTAAAAACCTCGATTATCTCTAGATTTGAGTTATAAAAGCTCGAGAACGAAGTATGTGGAGAACAACAGAGTCGAATTGGAAGGGTCAAATGAATTAAGAATTCAACAGATTTGAAATAGTACCTTAGTAGAGGAAGAGTCAATGCCAAGTTAAAAGAATTGCAGGTGAGATCAGCAGAGAACGAAATGAAATGTGTGCAATTGGTAGAGGAAACTGGTTGAATCCGTCATTGGTGAAGACTGTTGATTACCTGTGAACGAAACCTCCGGTCGGTGTGAACTCTCTCTCTCTCTCTCTCTCTGCAACTTATAGAGGGGGGGGGGGGCGCAGTGACAGTGATTGTGGGAAGGGTATTGATGTAAATTGAAACCGAAATCGGGAAGGGAGCTGTTCAAAAAGAGTTGGTCCCAGCTCAGCCACATTATGTCCTGTCCCCATGCGAACCCGTGTGTTTAGAGTCCTTAGACATTTACATCACAGTGTACAGTGCAAATTAAAGATTAAATGTAACTAAATTAAATTATTATTATTAAAAAATTAAAATTTAAATCATAATATAACTCGTTGAAACTAAGCGATATAGACTATTCTTATGCTTTATGTGAACAGGACTATACAGATGTTATTATTGAACTAGCAAATTTATAATTTCCAAAAAAGAATAAAAAATCATAAAATTTATATTTAAAAAAAGGCTCAAGGTATATGTATAAGTGATTTTATATATTAATACTACCGAAAATATATTTAAGTTCCAAATTGGAGAAAAAAAAAAGAAAAAAATTCATAAAATCTACATTAAAAAAAATTCTCAAGGTATATGTATAAGTGAATTTATATATTAATTCTACCAAAAATATATTTAATAGTTACAAATTGGAGAAAGGTCAAAGAGTTAGAGTAATTAACATACCCCCCCTTCTCAACCAATATGTATTTGTTTGAGAAAACAAAAGCATGGGGAGAGAGACAAATTTGGCTAAAAATATTGCTTCTAATTATATTTGGAATATTTTTAAAATTTGGGATTCACAAAATAAGTAAAAAAGAACGTTTAATTCAAACTTGTAAAGATAGCAAATCCTTTTTAAATTTATTATTTATTTATTATTTTTGATAATAAGATTCAATACAATTACAGTTCAAGTAATTTTTATTATGAATGTTAGAGTTATTATGTGAATTGAAAGAAGAACATGGTTATGTCCAATCTAATAATTACAAGGTCCTATTACTATTGAGCTTCATAAATAGAATATTTACTTCTTACTATTACTCTTCATTGTTCTAGAATTGTTATTGTTCACTATTTTTTTAGTCTTCAATATCTCAACTTAAAAATATGAATTTGAATATGACAAAAGAAAAAATAAAATAGATAAATTAACTCCACCTTCAAAAGAAATCCTTCATAAAATTTTTAGTAAAAAACAAGATTAATGATTGTTTAGGAAAACTATAGTCATATTCTAGACGTTTAAATGAATTTTCAGAGGGCCCTTTTTAAAGTTTTCCTTAGGGCCACAATTTCTGTTGAGGTGGTTGTGTTCTTGTTCGTCTTGATACCTACTCTATCATTTATTTCAAACCTTCTTTTTCACAAGTTTTTCAATACATCAACCCTTGATACAACAGTTTATAGATTATAATTGTTGACCGTAAAACTAATAATCTATACTATTCTAAGATATCAACAAAAGTTAATTTTTTTTATTGATTGTTTTAACTTTAACAAAATAATTAATGTCGATGTTATCCTTCTTTATTTGAACATTCAAATTACCATTGTGTTCTTTCACAAAACAATCATAAATTGTAATAAACTTTGTTTATAATTTTTACGACGTAGTGATGAACTCCCAAACTCTTCTTATTCCAACTAAATAACCCTTGGGAGATAAACAAAAGAGATGCAAAGACATGCATATATAGGCTTCTATCTTTATCCGTCCATCCAATTTTGAATTGCACAATTGATTCTTCAAATCTGATAGTCTGACACTTTTTATTAGATTTATTGATTATCTTTGATGATACTTAGANTGTAAAACTAATAATCTATACTATTCTAAGATATCAACAAAAGTTAATTTTTTTTATTGACTGTATTAGCTTTAACAAAATAATTAATGTCAATGTTATCCTTCTTTATTTGAACATTCAAATTACCATTGTGTTCTTTTACAAAACAATCATAAATTGTAATAAACTTTGTTTATAATTTTTACGACGTAGTGATGAACTCCCAAACTCTTCTTATTCCAACTAAATAACCCTTGGGAGATAAACAAAAGAGATGCAAAGACATGCATATATAGGCTTCTATCTTTATCCGTCCATCCAATTTTGAATTGCACAATTGATTCTTCAAATCTGATAGTCTGACACTTTTTATTAGATTTATTGATTATCTTTGATGATACTTAGAATAATTTTCAAGTATGAGCTCAGGTGCGGAGGTCAGACAAGCAGATCAGACCAAAAGTTAGGGAAGACACGCAGAGCTCAGAGGACAAAAATTAGAGCTCCCCCCTGACGTGACAACCGCATAAATGATAAGAGAACAGCTAAATGACAACAAAAAGCTTACAGGCGGCAAAAAGTCATATTCAAGGCACAAAATCCTTAACCAGCAAAAATTATCTCCTAAGAGCAAGGAGAGTTTCTTGGATAAATGGCAAGGATCTCGGTGCAGATCCCGCATAATTAGGGACAGCTCTATAAGTATGATGCAAGACCCCCAAGAGGAAGAAGATGACCCTAGTAACATACAATCGGTCTTGTAAACTTTTCGGATAATCAATAAAGAAAAAAGGAGCAAAAGTCTCCATTAAATAATGGATTAACCGAGCTCTCGAGCTGGTGAACCACTATATTTTTATTGTGTCAGTCCCCCAATTTTTCNGAAATGATAAGAGAACAGCTAAATGACAACAAAAAGCTTACAGGCGGCAAAGAGTCATATTCAAGGCACAAAATCCTTAACCAGCAAAGATTATCTCCTAAGATCAAGGAGAGTTCCTTGGATAAATGGCAAGGATCTCGGTGCAGATCCCGCATAATTAGGGACAGCTCTATAAGTAGGATGCAACACCCCCAAGAGGAAGAAGATGACCCTAGTAACATACAATCGGTCTTGTAAACTTTTCGGATAATCAATAAAGAAAAAAAGAGCAAAAGTCTCCATTAAATAATGGATTAACCGAGCTCTCGAGCTGGTGAACCACTATATTTTTATTGTGTCAGTCCCCCAATTTTTCCCTCAATACCAATCCTTGTACTTTTGAGCCTTGTAACTCAAATCCTAATAGTCACACACTCCTCATCTCATCTGCTCAATATCACAAAGTTGCACCGTGTTGATTTACACCATTAGTCTTCATAATTTTTGGGTTTCTTTGATCTATGTGAAAGGCATGCAACATAACAAATCTCTCTCTCTATATATATATATATGTGTGTGTGTGTGTGTGTGTGTGAAGGTTGCTCATCTTGACTTTACTATTTGTCACTTGAACCTNATGTTGATTTACACCATTAGTCTTCATAATTTTTGGGTTTCTTTGATCCATGTGAAAGGCATGCAACATAACAAATCTCTCTCTCTATATATATATATATGTGTGTTTGTGTGTGTGTGTGTGAAGGTTGCTCATCTTGACTTTACTATTTGTCACTTGAACCTCAAGGTTTATGGGATTCACATGTAAAATTCACAATCACCTCAAGCTTATGAAACATGTTTTTCTCTATCAATTTGATTATAGCAAAAGGTTACCAATGGTACAAACACACAACCCTATTTTCTTTACAATATTTTTTTGTCTAGATTTTGTTTCTTTTTTATTAGGCACGTAGTTTATTTTTGTTTGCATTTAACACTAATTATGTGAGTTTTTGAGCTTTGATTTTTGTGTGTCTAGGTTCAAAAACTTAAATCTTGAGTTTGAGTTTCGTGTCGAGTTCGTAGTTCACACATATATTTGTGTGTTTGTTTTTAGAGTTATTGTAGCACCCAACATTTCTTTTCTAAGTACAAATTTCCACAACATCACCACGAAGATCTTTTTACATTAAGGTTTACTTTGGAGATATGACGTCCTAATGTTTACCACATTGGTTTAAAATATCCATAAATTATTACTATTGATTATGTTTAAATGTTAATTAGCTGTGTGATTGTCTATGTATGATCATAATCTATGTAGATGAAAAAGTTGACACGTAACATCAAATGCCAACCGGCAACATATCAAGTAATCACCACCAAAAAAAAAATGATATAACAACCCATAAGTTTGTAATATCAAATATATTAATTGATTGAATTGTGTGAAATTGAATTATTGGAATCGACATGCGAACCATTTTAGTTAAATATTTAGTAGACACAATAAAAGCAAACCTGCATAGACAAGTGAAAATATAAAAAATTAAGAATATAACTCAAAATAACCTAAAGTAAAAAAGATAAAAAATTAATACGTGTTATTTTTATTGGATAAAAAACAATAAGATACCAAAAGACAATTTTTTTTATACCATCATAAATTCATATAGTCTAATATCAACTCACCGCAACGAGGAAAAATCTATGCACATATGGGTGTGTGTGTGTGAGAGAGAGAGAACATTGGGATTTATATTTATGAATTCTCTATTTGNTAAAAAAAATAAGATACCAAAAGACAATTTTTTTTATACCATCATAAATTCATATAGTCTAATATCAACTCACCGCGACGAGGAAAAATCTATGCACATATGGGATGTGTGTGTGTGAGAGAGAGAGAACATTGGGATTTATATTTATGAATTCTCTATTTGTGTTTAATTTTTTTTTTATATTTTTTTTATCATTAATGAAGAGATAAGAATACCTTTTGGATTGTTGATTATGTGGGTGATTTTTTTTATTT